AAAAATTTTTTAAGAATAAAAAAAGTGACGAGAAAAGATGGTTCTTCAATTTAAAAATATAAATTTATGGAGAATTTATAAAAACTTCTCTCTAAAGTTTAAACTCTTAAATAAGTGTTTCTATATATCAAATATTTTTTTTTCTATTTCCTTTAAAATTAATTCTCAAATAATGCCTTAAAAGTTTTTCTGTACTGACTTGCTGAAAGTTTGCAAAACCAATAGAAATGTGTTGAATATTAGTTAAAGAGATATATCTTGTTACTATCATTGACTTAAACGAGGGCAGTGAACGTTTGTTAAATAGAAATTCAAACAAACGATATATTAATTTATATATGTATATCAAATTCAAAATTAGGGAGACTATATATTATAAAAAATTAAAATGATAGTATACATGTTAATTCCGATAAGTTTCATATCATTTATTTATCTTATTCTTTATATCCTTAATTTGTTTCCTACGTTAGGTCTCCCTGAGCATATTTATAAATTAAAATGCTCATCCAATATTGGAATGATATTCCTTACTAATGAGATTATGTGAGCCCATGACTTGTATGGTATGTTACATATTCTATCTATGAACTTAATTGGTTACATTATAAGAATTTACAATTTTTTTTTTGCGTGACACAATGGCTGCGATGCATGCATCCATGATTTTATTACACTTCATGTACGGAATAATAAATCCATATATTAAGCATACATGATTGCGAGATATATAATATTTTACGTTGTTTAATCTCTGGTCAGGGATTTATAATATTATAATAATTCCATTTGTAAATAATTTAGCAATTTTGGAGAAGGCATATATATATAAAACGACAGACATGCTCATTCTCAATTGATAATAATGAAGTTAGATCCGAATTCGTAGGCTCACGCACTCTTATGTTACTTGACGTATTAGAATTATAAATTAATTTTTTTTGAGGGATAGAATTAAAAATTGTTAAACTATAGAAAGAGGACACAATAGGACTGTTGAGAGTTGACCTAAGTATACAGAGTAACGTGTTCAAGTTGCAGTGAACCTTTCTCCTCAGATCTTCACTTTGTTTCCTACTAAAAAATTGCTATCACACGGTGTGTAGGCTTGTTTTGACTAGACCAGATGGTAATCTCGTGTTGGGTTTGTTCGAGTTATTAAATGGTTTATTACATTAAAGTGTAATTTTTAAAATTGTTTTAGTTTTGTTATTTTTGATTAAAATTCCAGTTTTATCTTGATGATTTGTGATAATATCAAATATTATTTTATATTAAGATAAAAAAATTATAATTACGTCTAAATTTTATCTTTAATTATGTCAAGATCGATAAAGGGGAAGAAAAAAGTGATTGAATTGGTAAAATTTGAAGATGGTGATCTATTGGGTTTGAATTGGTTTTTGAAAGTGTATTTGTCTAATCCACTAAATAAAACAAATTTTTGCTTTGAATAATGTATTTTTGGCAATGGTCATTAATGGGTAGCTCGATTTCTCCGAAGGATTATAAAGTTGGCTGTTACAAATGCAGAAACTCTACCATTGTCAAGAACCTCGTGATTTGTGGAAAGTGAAAGCAATTTGGCCACAGCTTTTGTTGATCTAAATCACGTTGCATGCATGCATGGAGGGCAACGCGTGAGGAATGAAAAGTGTCCTCTTACCAACTCAAAAGCTTGTTCTGTTAGCAGAGGAAAGGAAACAAGTTATTAATGTTGCCAAAACATACACCATTTTACAGTTTGAAATTTTGCAAAATTATTTTGCTGAAATGTACATAAAGATGGCCGTAGTAGTCATACATTTTATATTTTATGTTATGATCTAGGTAAAATTAACCACGCAATGTTTTCTGATTTATGTATAAGAGTTGTTTTGAATGCATGCACATTTTTCCTTAATTATAAAGATTTTACCTGCATCATGATCTGTATATTTTTTAATTAGTTAAGCATATAATTAGCATAGATAAAGCTTAGTATTTTGAACTTTTGAGAACATTATTCTAACACATTGCAATACACTTAAATAAATCACAACAAAAATGTCATTTATTAATAATTCAAACATAATTTAAAGAAACATTTGACATGGATTGCGATGTTTATGGGTTTGCAAAGAATAATTAGGCATGGTCTGATCTATATAAAAATTAAAAACATTATGAAAATATATGCTTAAATTAATAAACTTAATATACTAAGCAGTCCGATGTATCAATCGTAGTGATGCCAAACAATAAACAATCATATCTCTTGAGACCTGTTTCCTGTCTAGAGCTCATTCGAAGAAGCACAACAAAACAGAAATTATATCATATATAAAACAGAGTTTCAGAAAATAATTTTAATTTAATAACTATTAACTAAAATTAATTACATAGAATAAATTTAAATTATTAAATTAATAAAACAAATATGTACTGAAGAGGAACACAGCCCGTGATTCCCGACTCTACTGGGAAAAGAATTCATATTATGTGTTTTATTTTTTGACAGAGCCACCTGATCTGGACCATTCGATTTTTTCGTTTTGGGAACTTTGGGTGTGCGTGGCCAGCACAGCAGTACTGTTACACAGATGCTCCAATTAAAACACCATCTCTTATAACCTTATATACATATATGATATAAGTTGCTATTAAATTAAATTTTTTTTAATTACCTTATTTCATAATAATATTTTATGAAAAAAATAAAAATTAATTAATTTATATATTAAAATAATTCATGCTAAACTAATTGTTTTAGTATCGATAAAATAAAAATTAAAAAGTAAAAAGATAAAGTGAAGATACAATATTATAGGGACAGTAAATGTTTTAAGAGAATTAAAAGGAAAGCATGTAATAGAAAAATGCAATATTGTTCTTATGAGTTTAATTTTAGTGTACTATTTATATAATAAATTTATATATCAATAAATTATAATATACTGTAGGTGTAATTTTATATTAATTATTGAAAAATCAAAATTTTTTTTATTAATATAGTAAATAATTTAATTACAATGTAAAAGTATTTATACTGTTAGTATATTTAAATTTTAAATTCTTATAATTAATGTTGGATGGGAAAAATTGGGTTTCAACCAAAATAATTTAAAATTAACAATTTTATCCAATTAGATAATTAATTAAGGAAGAAAATAAGAACATAAGATAATTTATGTATTTATTTCTATGTAAACATTTAATTATTAATACAATATAGTAAAATAAAATTTATTAAAAAATTGAATAGAGTTTATAAAATTGTGATTCATTTATTTTAATACTTGTATCTTGTAAAAAAATTACATAGTAATATATGTGTTAGTTAGGCGTTAAACTTAAATACTTACACTTTTTAATAATCTTTTATAAAAATGTAAGATTAACCAATTTATTTATTTAACTATCTTATATTGTCTATCTTTATGATGATGTATATCAATTTTCACATAATTTAGATATTTGTAGATATGTTATTTAATAAAATACTTATTATTTTTTAATAAAATTTTAAAAATTTAATTTATTTGATAAGAATATTTAAACTAATATTAGATTAATTAATTTTATATTTTATAAAAAAGTTATTAAAAAATATAAGCGTATAAGTTTGACATCTAATGATAACCACGGATGTTAATTTTCTCTATATATAATATTCTATTAGGGAAACAAATAGCTATATTATCTAATTTAAGTTAAATTACTAACAATATACCTTTTTGACTATTTTTTAATACAATCTTTATTTTAGATAAATAGTTTTATTAGTCTCAGTGATAAAATAGTTTCTTATCTATTTTTATTAGTAACAATAAGCTTCGGTAAGTATGTTGAAGAGTATTGTTAGTATTTTTTAAATTTAACTTAAATTACTTTAGAATTTGGGTGGCAAGACTCATTTGTTTGTTTTTGAAAAATATGAATATATTCTGAAACACAGAATCTTAGAGATTTTTAATTGAAAAAATATTTTCATTTCTAAAAATTATTAAAATGGAACAACATTTTCATTTTATCTTTTAATTTTAGAGATTTATATAGAAATGAAAAAATTAATGTTTTCTTCTTCCACCTTGTAGTTTTGATTTTGTTATTATCTTTTTCTTTATTATTTTAGTTTATAACTTTTAAAATTAATTTAAAAATAAAAAATGTTAAAAAAATTGTTTTGTTTTTGTCACATGTAATGTGTATCTTCTTCCTCTGCTCTGCTGTACTCTTTCAATGTCTCGAATAGCAATAGCAAGCGCTTATTCAATTCCTTGTGCTTTGTCCTGATGGACCCTCTCCTGTGTTTGATCGGCATTGGTCCTTCCTCATTGGATGACTGCAACTCACTGGGCTCACTCTATCAACGTTTCTTTCGCGTTTTGTGGCAGCTTCAGGGTGTGAAACTAGCCATGGATACTTTGGTGATCCCATTTGGGTCTAAAGTCTTTTGTAGTAGAGCTTTGTGCCTCCTTGTCCATAAATGGCAATGAGGGTCGCGTACTTAGAGTCACCAACAATACTTTCCTTCTATTTTGACATGGTTCTAAGATTAAGAAGATAAAATGATCAATATATGTAAATAAGTAAAACAACATTTTGCATTATTTTTCATACAGATCTTTAAAATAAAATATAATATGAAAATGAACTATCATTATTTTTAATTTTATATATATATATATATATATATATATATATAAAGAAAAAAAAAGAGAATCAGAGAAACCAAGTTACGAACCGATCAAGCTCTTATGAAACCCAATAATCAAGCCCATGTTTCTAATTTCCTAAAATATATTTTTACCCGTCATAGATATGGTCCACTGGTATATTGATAAAGTATCACTAGTTTGTTTTTATTACAATTACTTTATTAGTTGTCTAAAAAAATATTTTTCCATATATTCAAGTGGGAACAGATAAAGATTGTATTCGCATTGAATAATAAAGTATATTCCTTGCATTGATGTCCATGCATATTTAAATATATACATCAACATGCTTACGATATTAAACCAAATTATCGTTTACTCGTCTCTCATAGGCATTGATAGGAGCGAGAGATACAGAGAGAGGAAAGGAGTGAGAGAGCACGCCAGAGAAGGAGTTCTAATTTCTCTTTGAAGATTGATGTAGGGTTGGTACTTCTAAGATCAAGTTTTTTTTTTTACTTTCTCTCTCTGAGGTCTAAGCATGGAGGAGGATGAACAATTAATAGGAGAAGAAGCTAAGAAAAAGAGCTCCGCAAAATTCTTCACTCCCCAATTACTCCTTTTCAATTATAGTGGTTTTGGTTTCAGTATTTGATCTTTATCCCCACGGAGAACTCTTTTGTCTTTCTTTTTCCTTATTTTTTTTTTGTCTTGCTCCTAAGCTTCAAGGAAATTAAGAGTATAGCATAAAGTTGGAGAAGGAAGATATATAGGATGGAAGAAAGTGGTGGCTCCCAATGTTCCAAAACACGCCCTTCTAAACTTGATGAAGATGAGTGTGAAAGTGAAGCAAATGAGGATCAAAGTAAGCAAAATAACAATGGAGGAAGCTCAAGCAATAGCACCGTGGACGAGAGCGAGAGAAAGATTAGGCCTTATATTAGATCCAAGTTGCCGAGGCTTCGGTGGACACCTGATCTTCATCTTCGCTTTGTTCATGCTGTTCAAAGACTTGGAGGACAAGAGAGTGAGTTCCATATTTAGTTTGATCTAGCCTTGTATTTTGGGTTTTAATTTGCCATTTTTTTTTATTAATTCTTGTTGCTCAAGGAAAATTCAATTTTGGTGCTCTTATATTCAATGTTTTTAATATTGATTTTTGGGTCTAGGAGCAACACCAAAGTTGGTTCTTCAATTGATGAATATCAAAGGTTTAAGTATTGCCCATGTCAAGAGTCATTTACAGGTAATTCTTAGATTAATTCTCACCTATAGGTTGCCCTTTTTTTTCAATTTTTATTTTGCTCTCTACAAATGATTTATTTAAAGTTCTTTACCTATATATGGGCTTCGTTGGTTTATTTCTTTCTTTTTTTTCCTTTCTTTCTTTTTGGTAGATGTTTAGGAGCAAAAAGATAGAAGATCCAAATCAAGGTAGGATAAGATTTTCTTTATAAACTTTTCAATATCAATTAGTACTGATTAGGGTTGTTGATTGCAAACCCCTAATGAATACAGCTTCATTATGTATAACAGTATTGGCCGGTCATAGTAATCTTGTAGAAATTGGAGACAGAAATATTTATAATCTTAGCCAACTTTCCATGCTTCAAGGATACAATCCGAGTCAAAATCCCTCCTACAGCTACTCATATAATTATCCAAGGTTTGTTTCCAATTATTTCTCAAACAATTATTTTGAGGTATATTGTTTTCATTTTTCAAGAAGTCAAGAAAAATGACAAAGAAAATCTTTACAAAACAAGCTAAACTAAATGGATTAATTTCATCCACTAAAAGCTCTTTGTTCTGGTGCAGTTATGGATTCGGGGATGCTTCTTTCGGTGTCTACGAAAAAACAATGCACAAAGCTTTCGATTGGTCTAATAATAATGGAATTTTTCGACTGGGTTCTTCAATTTTTGGGGAACAATCATCACCAAGCAAAATCCGTGAACAAAAAGATGAGTTTCTCTCATTTAGTGCTCTTGAACCACTGTGCATACGCACGAGATTAAACCACGTTGATCACACCCCATCAATCAATATGCATCTAAGAGCACAAAACCACATGCAAATAAACCCAACAGCAAATAATCCACAAGAATTGAAGACACTGAAAAGAAAGGCTTCAGATGCTGCACTAGATTTGGATCTATCACTAAAGCTAAACTCAAAGATTTACGATGAAGGAAACTTGGAGGACCATGAAGTTGATAGTAATCTATCACTCTCATTGTACTCTCATCAATCCTCGTCTTCTAATCTTAGCAACAGGTTGAAGGAAGCACAAGATCACTGTAAGGAACAAGGCAAAATGGCTAGTACTCTAGATCTGACTATATGAATGAGACAAATTCTCAGTGAGATCTTGAGGTACTTGTCAGAAACTATGCATTTTATAACCAAATTCATACATTTATCTGACATAGTTATATTTGCTTCTTGTCTCATTCTATATTTATGAACTGTCAAATACCTGGACTAGCTAGATGATGAAGTGGTCTTAATTTATTCTAGTATTGCCTTTACTGCAAAAAAAGTGTCACCAGAGAAAATTTGTACACAAATTAGGGTTAAAACTTGAAAACCGAAAAACAAAAAAGTCTGGTTTTTGTGCACCCCAAGCCGGATCAACGATTGGACATATGTTTTTAACTATAGTTTTGTGAGGGTGTAAAACTTGTCTTCTAGTTTCTTGACGAAAGAATTAGATCCTATATTATCAGGCAAAATTCATTCGAAGTCTTATCCTCAAATTTTCATTACTCTATGTTATTTTAACTACAAAAGATACTATATATTATATAAAAAGGTTAAGTGTTAAGAACTCTTTCTATTGGTACAAAAATTGCCTAAAAAAAATTAATTTACTAATATAATTTTGTAAAAATTTATGCTGAAAATATAATGTATTAATAATATATAATTTTTTATACTAATAAAATTATCACTTAGTACGATGGATTCAGTATATAACTATTGTTTGTACTACTATATTTGAATTTTTATTAAGATTAAATATGTTTCTGTCTTCTTTATTTTTGCGAGTTTTTATTTTAATTTTTATATTTCTATATATATTTTTTTCCTTTTACTGACTTGATTAGCAGAAATGTTGTGACATATGAAATAAGAAATAGTAACACTTAAAAAAAATATAAAATTAAAATAAATTGTTTTGAAGAGATTAAAACAAAAAAACTCATTACATAAATAAATAAAATATATTTATACTTTTTATTAAATAAAACTAATATCGATAGAGATAAATTCAATGCTTAACTATAGTATACAACAGTGTTTTTGTTGGCCATTCAAATTTGACCATATAAGATATGTAGTACTAAACTAAACATTTATATTCATTCCTTTAATTTGATTTGTATGTATAAAACAAAGTACGAAATATTGGTAAGAATAGTTCAATATTACCTGTTTTATTAAACTTTAATATAGAATCCAACCCACCCCTTCCCCTAAAAGCCTACTATAAAGGAAACAAAACAAGAGGATAGTCGTTATTAGAAGTGTTTTCCTTTCCTCTTTTCCTTAAATTTATTTTGGTGGCTTCTATTTAACTTGAAAATGGGTGAAAGTAGGATTGAATATAACATGTTTAAAAAATTTCAGTTTAATATTTTTGGTATTGGATGTTTTGGTGAAATAAGTATTGTTTCATAAAATATTAAACCATTAACATTTCCTTGATGTGTCGAGTTGAGCGTAACATTCAGAAGAAAGAAAAAACTGAGGTTTAAATTTTGAATTTAATTTTAATATATTATAATTAAAAAATTGCGCTTGCATCAAACAATCCATTGCTATATTAGTTAATGAATTTGAAATGTTACGTAATTATTAATAAAGTTAAATCTATTAAATTATATGGTAATAATCATTGCATATAAGTGTTAACCCCTTTTATAGCCACAATACTGTAAAATTAAACTTTTTTATTTTCTGAAGCACAATGAAATAAATGAAAGTATATATAAGTAAAGGCAAGCTACACTACTTAATGAAGGTTAGTCTGAATTACAAATAATTTAATATCGTTTAAGTAAAGTATTAAATTTAAGTTTTTGTTATACAAAATTTTTTTAGTAATAAACTTATCCATTACATCCAATTTTACTTGTACTTTATAAAATATAATTTTAATTTGGAGGACTCAGCTCCTATATAAATTTCAACCACTTTCTAGTGTAAATTAGCAATTTCTTTTTTGTTTCAATAATAAAAACTTACTACTGGTAATTCTAAATGATCAAAAGTTTTAGGGAAAAATTAATTATTAAATTTTAATATTTTAAAAAAATTACAAATTTATTAAATTTTAAATATATAATATTTATTATTTTTATTTATTTATTTATAATATTCATTTAAAGTAAATATAATTTTGGGGGAAGAAATAGAAATAGAAATTTATTTTAAAGGCTTAAGATTATCATGTAAAATTTAATATACATATCTTACAGTGAAATATTAATTAGTATTTTAGATTATGGGTGGAGTTTGAAAGAGGTTATGAATAAATAATAAATTTTATATTTAATTTAATTTAATTATCAAAATAAAATTATTATTTTATTTTAATATTTTATGGTCAAATTTATGATATAAATTCTCATATAAAAATTAATTATTATATTTAATTAAATTATATTTTCAAATAATTCCTATACGTACATATATTCATGTATGCATATAATATTAATTGAAATTACAAAAAAATTTAGTAATAAAATTAAGCATTTAATTTCTAATATTTTAAAGTATTTCCATTTAAAGTGAATAACATACATTAAAGGAAGAATAATGATATTATTTTGCAAAAGACGGCAGAGTGCACTAAAGGAAATTATCATTATTGGAAACTGTGTAAGAAAATGGTTAATAGTATTATACATCCCAGGCTGATTAATTTCAATATTTTTTCCAAATAACAGATAAAAAATTTATTCGAATGTATTGATCAGTGATCACACCAAAGAAAACTATCGTCACTGAAAACTATACAAGGAAACAGTTAATATTATAATATATAATGGGCTTATTAATTTCAATATTTTCTCCAAATAACAGATGTAAAAAAACTAATCGAACAAATTTATGACTTTTAAGTCTTTAAAAAAAATATTTATCATATTATTTTTAATGTTAATTGCTTAAATTGTCAATGAGCCACAAGCCCCACTACTGAAAACACATAGAATAGCTAATTGGAGACTATTTTAACTTTGTCGAGTTTGAATTTAAAAAATATAATCATATTAAAATTTAATAAAAAATTATCGTCTTTAATAATCTTATTTGTCTCAAGCCAAGTTAAACTCTAAAATAGTCTAAATATTGTGAACATATAATTTACTTTTGAAAATTTTAATTTTGAAAATGTCGGTAACTTTCGCTAATTGCCAGACATAATGGAATAATAAATTTAATCTTTTTATTATTAAATGATTATTTTATTTCTTGTTAGATTTTTTATTAATTAATTACTTTTTTTCTTAATTAATATTGAGATCCTGTTTTTATTATCGGGTATTCTTACAAATATAACTGTTAAATTAATTTTTAGATCAGAAAGAGTAAAATTAATGCTTAATTTTTAGTGAAAAATTTAGATTTGACATCCTTAACATTAAGTTTGTCAAAGATTACCGTCTAGTTTCACTGCCACCGATCAACATTGAACAATCTTTACACCTAATTGTGTAAGCTTGGTAGCTCACACATGGTAGCATCTTCAATTAATTTTAGAGTGAATATTTCGTGTAATATAAAAGTGGGAAATTGAGAAAGAACAGATTGCTAGGCTCTGACTCTTTTGTTTTTTTTTATTGAGACTGTTAATATGTGTCTGTCCTTTCTTTTCATGTAAATTAATTAATTAATTAATTAATTCAACGATGAATGATGAGAATCACAAAAGGCTGGACTTGGATTATTTGATTGTCATTAGTAATTGAAAAATGCATGTTCCTAAAGAAGGTTTCATTATATATATTGCCAATTAACACTGTTTAGGTACAATGTGTTAAACATTGTATCCTAATCCCAGGGAAGACTTAGTTGCATAACAATAACATTTTTTCATCTTATTTAGAACACAAGCACCCTTTGCCTTCTTCATTCAGTCTTCCTCAGAGATAAAAACGGTGGCCCAAATCAGTAGCACTGGTTGCTCCTCAGCCTCTGTATCTCTTGCATCAGAGCCCAATTCTCAGCTGAATCCACAGTCAAAGCACTTGCAATTAGTTAACCATGAAAATTGAAAAATTAAATGAATCTGAATAATCCATTTTATTGTACTCAACTCTTAATTACGATTAAGCTTAAGCCTCCAAAATATTTATTACACTTGAAAATACAATAATATTTTTTCAATAAAAATTTATAATAAATAATAATTTTTTATTATTTATTATGCTTTAAAGCCTGAAATTAATATATTATATATAATGCATGTATGTATATATTTATTTACCTTCCTTTTCAGCACTCAGCTTACGAGCAGCGTCGCAATGTGCTCTCATCTTTGCATTCTCTTCAACTAGTTTTTCATGGGAAGCTTCCCAGAAAATGAGTTGAGATCGAATCATTGAAACCTCCTCCTGGTCGAATAGATAATCAGTTGAGTATGAATATACAATGCATGTTAAGAATAGGAGATAAAAACATACTCATATATATATACACACTCACACACTTAAACATGAAGTATGTTAAAAATGACAAGTTAAGCTTGGGTTGAGTTCTAATAAACCAACGCACTTGAAGGCGCTCGATCTGCGTTACGAGCTGTTGCATCTTAGCTACCTTCCGGAGACGATATCTCGCAGCATACATCCTATTAGCTTGCATCCTTCAAAGCAAGTTTATATTAAAATTAGCAATCATAAAAATTAAAATGGTTATTTAATAAATATATAAATTATATGATTCAATGGTTAGCTTGATAATTTTTATTCATTTATAAGAAAATATTAAAGACATAAATTTGTAAGACTTGTATATATAGTATACTTATTTACCGTTTCAATTTAGCCTTTAAGTTGGAGTCTCTGTCATGGGCCAATGCCCCAGCATTGATTGGAGAATTTGGAGGAGCAGGAACCTGATCAGCCCCAAGAAATGTCAGAGAAGGATTTTCATGTGTTTTCAACACATTTCTTGCTTGAAATAAAATTTCACTGCCTTCAGTGACATTGGGTTCATTGGTGCTACTAGTTGGGGCCTTAGGTGGTAAGTGAAGAGCAGCAAATTGCTTGTCATTGATCAGTAAGTTTGTGAAGGTTTGGTTGGCCATAGCCTTGGAAGAAATGCTCCTGTTTTGGTCATAGAAATTTCACTTTAGCACAGTTATCAAACAAATTGAACAACATATCACATACAACTAGAATGCTTATAAAAAAAATGAAAATTAACAGAAAAG